AAAGGCAGTAGAGCTGACTATTTCTGTCAATGTTAAGTTTGTGATAACATAAGAAAAGTAGTTTAAATGTTTGCCACTTGCTTGAGCAACTTAATAAATAAGTAAATGCAAAAGTAAAAAGCATTCAATAATGTTTTGCTTATATTTATTGTGTTTAAACATGTCTGTAAAAGATTGTATTACTGTGCTGTGTAAAAAAAATAATTGCAATGCTGAAAAAGCATTTTCAGTGATAATGTTTGGATTTGAAATCAAAATAATGGATAAATGTTGTGTTTGTGGTAAACAGCCACAGATCAGTAGCGGACTCTTGTGTGAAAGCTGCTTCCTATCTCACAAGAGTCACCTAAGAGGGGAATTCCCCCCATTTTCAAAAATGAAATTCTGGTCCTGAATAAATGTCTAAAAATCCTGATTGGAGCATCACTATAAATAGTTATAAATGATAAAAAGAAGGCTTTAAAAAATTGGTATCGGTGATCGGTATCGGCAGATACTGCTTTCTGTGATCGGCAATCGGTGATTGGCCTCAAAAATCCTGATCGGAGCACCCCTAATATCATACAACACCAAACTCATATTAACACAAATACATCTGATATAACTGAACTACTTGAAATAGGAAGAACAAGTATCACAACAAAAACAAGCAACAGCACATGTCCACAGGGCCTCCATCTTTCACAAGCAGCACAGATAAATGCATGTTCTCTGAAACTCTTCATCACATTAATCTGAACAATAAAGAATACGATAAACAGTAAGACTGTGGATTCATAGACCCTCCTACACACAGCACAATCATTTATCAGCACAATCTTCAGCTGAATACTGAATTTAAAACAGAAAAACAAAACAGAAGATAGTGTAGAAAATAATTAAATACTCACAGAGTATGAGAGGCAGTGCACTGGACCCCATACTGACACATTAAGAGACTGTTTTAACAGTGCTGTGTGCACTAAACCAGACATTTCCTGCATTTCACAATACAAGAAGAGATGAGGGAGGAGACAAAACTCTACACAGAAATGCATGAAGAAATAGGAAGAAAACGAGATCCATTCTAAGATATTTACTTTTTTAGTGCATGCAAGTTGTTAAAGTTGTTTTCTATATGAAAAGTCTGTTTCACAGAGAATGTCTTTAGTAATTGTTCTCACACTGCACTCTTTTGCTCGTTCACACTGCCAATGCCTCACAGATTATGAACAGATCAGAGAATACCAAGTAAAATCATGAGCTGACTTCTAATGTAGGCCTGTTCAGGCCCGCTCTTATTTGAGTTATTCTCTCATCAACAATTACAGCGGCTTGATTAATGGCAACTAAACAGCTTTTACACAATGATCGATATAATTAATAATTAATCCAATGTATCTGTTATTACATTCTGGCATTATCTGAATATTTTAGTTTATTAAAAACACAATTTCTGTAACATGATAAGATAAAAATCTGCAAATACTTTGTTGTCACGAAAGTATTGTTGCATGAATCACCATATTTCATGTAGGAAGGACTTTGCAGCAACAATAACCCCAAACCCTGTGTGATTGTTGCTATAGAAATATATGAAGCAATTACACAAAGAGATCAAGTTTAAAATATTTTACTTTTATTTTGGTACATTTAAATTGTCAGAGACAAAATACAAACACATCTATAAATGTGAAAAGTGAATTTTACTGTCAAACACAAGTGACGCATACAGTCTATAAAATCATGTTGATTCAGATTGTATGGAGTGACGATTTGCGAGAACAATATTTAAAATGTTTATTTCTTCTCTAAAAGGAGTAGTTACATGACAGCGTTTACTTTTAGAAGTGGGAAGTGAAGACCGGGAGACTCGGGTGAATCTTCAGCAGGATTCTTTATTGCTGTTTGATGCTCCAGTCATTCAGTCTAAACTAAAGCAGTGAAACATGTAAGTGTGAAAAGTGAATTTTACTGTCAAACACAAGTGACGCATACAGTCTATAAAATCATGTTGATTCAGATTGTATGGAGTGACGATTTGCGAGAACAATATTTAAAATGTTTATTTCTTCTCTAAAAGGAGTGTTTACATGACAGCGTTTACTTTTAGAAGTGAGAAGTGAAGACCAGGATATTCTTTATTGCTGTTTGACGCTGCAGTCATTCAGTCTAACTAAAGCAGTGACGCATGTTAATTTTATATACATTTTAGAGAGCAGTCCTTACAGGTCAAGACAAAGCAACCTTGAACAAAGTATGCAAACAGTTATTAGGAGCCTGACCAGTTTCACGAGCCCCAATCCAAACAGTATAATTGTACCATGTAGATACCTCACAGAGATAAGAAATACATCCTCAACATAAATAGTTCTGGTCATAAACACTTGCCACAACTTTAAAGACTGGAGCAGGGTCAAAAGCCACCAAAACATGATCACCTCAGGTACTGCGCTTGTTTAACTATCAATATGGAGAGCGAGAACTAGCAGAAGCCTCTCACTAGACATTTTGCTTCACCAGCTGGTATTGTTGCTTATCAAATAAAATGTAAGAAAACAGAGACTCTTAAATGTGACATTAAACGGGTTTTCTAAGAAGGGAAGTAAATGAAAATGACATGCACATTTTGCTGTGAATCTTTTGCTCTTGTGGTAGTATGTTGAGGTTTATGAAAAGATGCAGAATAAGAATAACAATTTTCCCCACTCTGGTTAAAACTATAGAACAGAAAGAGAGCAGAAGTCAAACCACAACCATCAGCTCAACCTTTATTAGGCCTCTACACTTCTGTCATTTTCTCACTACAAGTCAGCCATGCACAAATAACAATGTGTCTTCAGTGATGAGCAGAAAGAAGCCGGTGCAACACATATCAGGCATTGCCATAACTCTGAATTTTCATTTTTTACTACCCATGGCCTCAGAAAAATGAGACCCACGATAGAAACAGCCCACAAAATGCTGTGACTTCCACTACAAGGTACGTCACAAACCACACCACTGAGAGAAGCGTCTGCAGAACTCGCTTTGAATGTGAACATTGATGCATTGATGAACATTGATGACTTGCAAGAAGATCAGGCACAATTCTGTAGCCAGATGAGCCCATACTGTGGAGTGTGTCCATACTTCATATTATGTATTTTTCTGAGGTATGCATCTTTTACTCTTAGAATTACTGTTGAGAATTTGATGTCTTGTATTGATTATCTCTGAATTGACTATGCACTTGGCATAATACACATTTACCTGACATTTACCTAAAATAAATTGTTACATTTGAATTGATTCTGTTTATGATTGACTCAAGGTCACGTCATGTCCTTGTTACCGCATTTCTGCATCAGGTTAGTAACAGACTAAAGTCCAGTTGAGATGTAGCATGGAGCAGGCCAACTGAGATTTTAGAGATCCGGCTAACACTTGGCATTAGTTCACGTGAAGTTAGACTGTAAAGGCCAAAAGAGAATGTCCATGTAGGTCAACTGGATGTTGTTCGACCAGCCTTAATATGGGTGGGCCTTACCTCTGTTTACTGTAATATTACTTCAGCTAAGTGTACATGTGAAACAAACCATTATCAGACAAATTAATGTTGGTCATCTTTTATCTATAATAGTGATCATGACCTCTGACTACAGATAATGTTGCTTTATTCAAGTGTATACAGATCTATGGTATATAAAATTGTTAAACTCTGTAAAAAAAATAAATAAATAAATACATAAAAATGAAATAAAATCATATTGCCTTGTTGGTGGCAATAGTGAAAAAGAGGTGTCATTTTGATCTGGTTTTTTTTTTGCATGTGTAAACAAACAACAGAACTTCAGAATCATAATCTCTCCGCAAAAATGAACTCATGATGTCTGAACTTCATCCTGCAGCCATAAAGCAGTGAAACACACGAGAAGCTGCAGTGATGAAGAGCAGTTACACCGACAGATGTGTCGTGTGCTTCAAGCTAGGGCTGTGCAAAAAATCAAATGCGATTTTCATGCGCATCTCGTCAGTAACGCCGCTTCTGGTGATAAGTAGTAAATCTCCAGCACATGCTTTAAGATGGCCGCTCCATCCATTTTCTACACAGAGCCGTAGTTCACTGACAAGCTACACAAAATCGCGTTCAAAATCGGCAATGAATCGCCTGCGATTTTGTGTAGCTTGTCAGTTATCTAAGGCTCTATGTAGTAAATGCCGCTCCATCTGAAAGCACGTGCTGGAGATTTACTACTAATCACCAGAAGCGGCTTTACTGACGAGATTCGCATGAATATCACATTTGATTTTTTGCCCAGCCCTACTTCAAGCTGCCCAAAACAACTTCTGAATGTAACCGTTCATAAGTCCCTCAGTGACGTTTCTTTCATTAAAGTAATTGCCAAAGTCCTTATTCAACACATAGAGAGAGAGAGGAAAAAAAAAAGTAATTTACCACGATTATTACACAAAAATCATGTGAAATGTAGACGCTACCTTGACTATTCCTTACCATTCCTGCGTGCAGGTCGTGGATTTGAACTGACGTTGGTAAAATAAATGTTCACTTGTCACATGTTTTGGGCTGTAAATGAAGTTCAGTACCTCTACTCAATGTGTACGGTGGTTTTACTCCGCCAAACAATTTTACCAATTCAGTTTTGTTCCAAATATGAGAAGAGAAAACACAAGCATCGGTCGCTCGTGGAGGAACACAGACACTGAACAGAGCGAGTTGAGTCTATGCGGTTCTCATGTTGTGGTTAAATGTGTAGCGCCGCCCAGCAAGCCGCTCATTGTTGATCAGTCAGTTTGTGTTTGAGTCCAGATTCGATCAGAGAGATCATGGCAGAAACCGCTCCATCAGCTGCCGCAGCCAAGAAGAAATCAGCAGCTAAACGCTAGTGATGGGAAGTTCGGAAATTTTTTATCAATAGACCTTTGAGTCTCGTTCAGCAAAATGAACTAATATTTTTGAGTAATTTTGTTCATTTTGTTAATTTTAGCAAAATATAATTTAAATGTTATGTGTTACTTCCCTAAGACATCTACAGGCAATCTGGCGAAACGTAAGTTTATTTAATAACAAATAAATCGCAATGGATTATGTATAGTAAGTAAATTATGGTTTCTGCGCTGATGACAACTAATTTATTCACTTTATATCTTCAAGACATATATCCTTGTATGCACATCACTGCCTGTACTTGTATTTGGGACGCTGATGACAACTAATTTATTTACTTTATATCTTCAAGACTTAAATCCTCTGCACATCACTGCCTGTTACGTTATTTGGGTGCTTAGTTGCAAAACTTAATTGTAAACTTTTCAGATCATGATTATGATGTTTTAACTGACTGAAGTTTTGATTACTGACTTTATATATTTAAATGTGTATTTGTATCCCGGCCCGGTACGATAGACTTGATATCATTACGTCATCGCGAATGACGTCATTACGTTAGGGCGTAATAGAACCGATGAACCGTTTTTTTGAACCATGTAGCATTTGGACCAATCAGACACACATTTGTTAACTAGATTAAACAAATCAATTATTCATTAGATTAACAAATAATCACAGACCCCTCACCCAATAAAATACTGGGTGCCAGCATGTCTGGGAATGACCCCAAGCCCCTGGTTACCATGGCAGCCAGGACCACTCAGCCAGATCAGATACACGTTTACGACCTAAAAGTATGTAGAGCGAATCAACTCTTACTCAAGTCTCTCTAAAACAGACACATCATGCCCATAAAAATGGATTCTTCTCTAATTAATTCATAGGAAAACCTTTCTTTGAATGAAGACACATATACTTCAGGTCATTGTGTATGTTGTTACTGTTCTTGTATATTGTCTTTTGTATTGTATATTGTTTTATGCATGCTTATGATAGAACCACTCATTCATGTAATCTTACATATACCATGTTTGGTCTCTATGAATTTGTCTTCGGATGATCTAATTGAGAGTGTATATTATATGTTTATACCAATGCAACATGTTAGTGTTCTAAGAATCTTTAGTAGTTTTTGCATCAACACCCAATCAAATTACATATGCAAAATACCATGCTCTAAGACACTGTTTCTCAACCCTGGTCCTGGGCACCCCCCAGCACTGCACATTTTGTGTGTGTCTCCCTAATCAAACACACCTGGTTCAACTCATTAGCTCATTAAAAGAAACTCCAGGACCTGAAATGGGTGTGTCAGATAAGGGAGACATACAAAATGTGCAGTGTTAGGGGGCGCCCAGGACCAGGGTTGAGAAACACTGCTCTAAGAAAAAGAGTCGTAAACTTTCCCTCCAAAAGTGAAAGTCACCATTGGCTCTGTGACCTCCCGGAGGTGTGAGCTCAATAGGAACTAAAGCTCTCACATCAGTGATCCGCCTCAGTCAGTCTGCGGTTCTGTTAGATTCTGAGAAGATGAGGATGTGAGCTAGAATGCTTCTGCAACTCTTAAGTCTGCACCAGGCTTCAGCCTTGTCTTTACATTCACCAAAGATCCTAGGATCTCAGCTGATGTCTCTCTTAGCTCTTTTTCACTTTCCACTGGGAAGAAACTCCCAATCACCATCAAGTCAGAATATCTTTGGAGTTAATCACTCTTCAAACCCAGAAGAAGGTGATCGCGACTCCTACACCACCGAACCTCCAAACCATCAAGACTTTCATCCGAGACTGCATCCGTACGCTCGTTCCAGGCCAAGGCAATGCAAGTATCGTACATTTAACTAAACGAAACAGAGGTTTAGTATAAGCTGTAGACCCCGTTCAAAAACGGCGCTGATGATGGTTAACTAACTCTTTTCATAGCTTCATTCTCTTGTTTTTCCTGATGGTTTCGTCCATCAAGCCTCATTTGCCCTTTCCCATGTATGAGTGATTGTTTGGGTGTTAGACTAGTTTGTGTTAGTGTTTAGTTAATAAAACTTTTGTGCACAAATTACATGAGTTTCTGATTCTGCCTTGCAAATTAATGTCTCTATACGATTTTGATCCTTACTACATGCTCTAATGAAAGTATTTTCTGTGGCAACGAAAATATCCTTTCCTAGAGTTGATATGAACTTAGACTGAATGTTCGCTGGACGAACAGATTGGTTGATGGCAAATAAATTCTGCTACAGTTACTACTGGCAGCTGATATAAATAATTGTAATTAATCATAATTAACTGTAATTATTTATATACATTTCCCTTTTGAGCTAATTTGCTACAACCGGTTAATTGAAACGAACTGTCCGAAAGAACCGGTTCATGGAAAAGAACCAGACTTCCCATCACTACTGACAAGTCTTCGGGTTTGAGTCGTTTGTTCATCACGTGACAGCCCCATAAGCTAATGCAGTCTGAGCCGGAAAGAGAATTGATTTGAGTCTTCGGGTTTGAGTCGTTCGTTCAATACGTGACAGCCTCATAAGCTTAACCAATGTTGAGAGTGGCCTCTGCTGTTTGTCTCACAACAGACTGCTGGACCTCTTTGACTACAACAAGTTACATGACTGTGACATGTCATTTCATAGAGGACTTTCAGATGACCTCCTATCTCCTGGACTGCTTTATTTTGACAGACAGACACACTGCTGCTTACCTGGCAAGTGAGCTGACAAGTGTTACAAATGAACGAGGTGTGGGTGACAAAATTGTAGCTTGTGTCACAGACAGTGCCAGCAACATTGTTTCAGCCCTGAAAGACCATCTCCACTGGGACCACATACCTTGTTTCACCCATATGCTGAACCTCATTGTCAGAGCTGCATTGAAGGAGGTCCAAGCAATATTGCAAAAGGTCAAGACAATAGTTGAATACTTCCATAGAAGTACAGTTGCTTCAGACAAGCTCAAGGCCACACAAAAACAGATGGGTCAAGAGCCGTTGCGGTTAAAACAGGATGTGGCCACAAGGTGGAATTCAACATATTACATGTTGAAAAGATTTACTGAAATCAAAGATCCAATCATCTCCACCCTGGCACTAACTAATGCATCTCTGCCAACCTTGTCGCCAGAGGAATGGAAAATTTCCAGATACATTTTGGACATTATTAAGCCATTTGAGGAGGTCACCACTGAAGTGAGTGCAGAAAAGTAAGTAGTTCAACATTTTTTATTATTATTAATTTTAAAACCACATTGTAAACCCTGTCTCATAATGATGCATGTTTTTCTGTAGCCTTATTTTAACAGAGAAGTACATGCAGTACTGATTTTGGTTTTGTTATAATTAATTTATAAACAATTTGTAATCTTAGGTTTGTGACTGCGTCCAAAGTCATTTTGATGACAAGAGGTCTTCAGAGGATTGTTGCCCGATATCAAAGAAATCCCTCCAACTTTGACCCTGTTAAAAAACTAGTGGATTCCCTGATGTCAGAAATGACTAGGAGGTTTGGCAAAGTGGAACACATTGAGAAGCTTGCTGATGCTACTTGTCTGGACCCAAGGTTAAAAAAGCAAGCTTTTGTCAATAACCAGGCAGCAGAAGATACATTAAATAGGGTTACAGCAGATGCAGCAGCTGGTAACCCAGCTCAGAGTGAGGAGGAGAATACTTCAGATCCTGGTGCGACTGCCAGTGCAGGGGCCATGTTTTGGGAAGACTTTGATGAGAGGGTAGCAAGCTTGAGGCCTTCCGCTACCACTTCTAAGACGTCAGATGCTATGATGGAGATGCGGGCCCACCGTGCAGAGCCACTCTTACCCCACACATCAGACCCTCTGGCCTGGTGGAGGAAATGTTCACCAGTATACAAAACCCTTTCTGAGGTCACGAAGACAAGACTTTGCATTGTGGCCACATCTATGCCAGCTGAAATATTTGTTTCTAAAACTGGGCAGATTATCTCAGAGAGAAGAAACAGACTCAGCCAATGCAAGGTCTGGGAGCTTGTTTTTTTAATGCAAACATGCCTTAAAGCAAGTCCTAAAAATACAGCCACAGTGTTTTATTCATTTTAAAGTTTTTTTTTTTTAAAGCTTAGCTTGTTGTGCAATATATATATATATATATATAATTTTTTTTTTTATATATATTGTGATTATAAAGGTAATTTGTCATATGTTACAAATGTATAGTTTACACAGACAATCTGATTTATTAAATAACTGCACAATTAATTTATCAAGTATAAAAGTTATTTAGTTACATTGCTAAGTACATGTGACTTTTCAGTTAAAAACAACTTGTAAACATTGAAGGTAATGGACTACATGTAGTGAGTGACTGTGAGTGTTTCATGAATCCTAAATAAGTAACACTACAGTTATATAGTCTAATCTGAAGGGTTAACTCAAAAGACATACAACAAGGTATTGTATTTCATGAAGATTAGAATCCACTGTAAAAAAACAAAAACAAGTTTCTCTTATTTATCAAAGTGATTTCGCCATCATATGGACAAAATTTAAAGCATAGCCAACGCTTTATTACCTTTATTACCACATTCAGTGTTTTGGAAAATAACCATCATGACAGAAATTAAAAGCAACAATTTGAGACCAGAAACACATCACGTAACTGTAAGAGTAAATAATAATAATAATAATAATAATAATAATAATTACTATGCGCCCGTTTGTAAGGAAGTTTGTAAATTAACTAATTTCTCTAGCCAATGCTGTCATGTCAGGTCACAAAAGAATGAACGGCTCGAAAGACTCGAGAGATGAACTAATCAATTCTCTTTCCGGCTCAGACTGCATTGTTTAAGCGTATTGGGCTGTCACGTGATGATCGAACGACTCAAACCCGAAGACTCGTAACAGGTGAACTAATTCCAGTACAGAGCCCATAGAATGTTGCTCATGCGCGACTGAACAAATCACTCCCCGAAACGACTCGTTCTTTCCGAGTCACATTAAAGGACAAAATGAACGAATCGTTCAAAAACGACCCATCACTACTAAACGCAAGAGAACGGGCCCAAGCATCGGCAAGCTCATCGTCAAGGCTGTGTCCACATCTAAGGAGAAGAGCGGTGTGTCCCTCGCCGCCCTGAAGAAAGCGCTCGCTGCCGGTGGCTACGTTGTGGAGAAGAACAACTCCCGCTTCAAGATTGCCGTTAATAGTCTGGTGACTAAAGGCACCCTGGTCCAGACCAAAGGAACCGGTGCCACCAAACTCAACAAGAAACAAGCAGAGACCATGACCAAACCTGCCAAGAAAGCCGCTCCTAAAGCCAAGAAGCCCGCAGCCAAGAAACCTGCCGCCGCTAAGAAGCCCAAAACCGCAGCAGCGAAGAAGCCTGCCGCTAAAGAATCTCAGAAGAAGGCCAAGAAACCTGCTGATAAAAAGGCAACGAAGAGCCCCAAAAAAGCAAAGTAACCAGCTACTCCTAAGAAAGCAGCAAAGAGCCCTAAAAAGACCAAGGCAGCCAAACCCAAGACAGCCAAACCCAAAGCCGCCAAACCTAAAAAGACAGCAGCCAAGAATAAATAAAATCTCAATCATCTGTGGTTTATCAAAACGTTTCTTTTAAGAGCCACCTACTAATTCTTTGTAAAGATCATTATTTTTTTTGGTTATATGTTCAGTGAGGCAAAAATAATGGCCTTTCATGTTCGAGTACAAATACTTTTGTACGCTAATATTGCTATGAGTGAATATTTTATGGATGGAATCTAAAGTACTTGTATGTTTACATGTTTATACAAGTACATTATGAAACTTTATACTTTCTCAACATTATTACTATTAGAAGTAGTAGTATGCTTAAAATCAGATAATACAATACAGAATAGGCAAGGCAAGTTTATATAGCAGTTATATATGTAGAAGTGCTCTTCATATAAAGTACATAAAATCTAATTATTACAATTATAAAACAAACACATAAATACTGAGATAATGGGAGAAATGAATAAAAAAAGGCACAATTAAGTACTACTACTACAGTACTATGTGACGAGCATGCAAATTGTTGTCAGTAGCAGAAATAGAGGGTTGGGTTTGAAGTTTGGAGGGAAGTTCACTGATTGGAACGTGTTCAGACTCCAGCCAATAGGAAACTGACACGCTTTCTTTTAAAAGTCCTAGGGTTGGGTACCGAAACCGTACCTATGTAACCGGTATGTACTAGAACCGAATCCGAATGCAGATTTCGGTGCCATGCCTGAGCGATCGATTTAAATATTTGTCCTCTGATTCTCTGAAACGGACGTAAGAAGCATCATTACTGGCACCGCACGTGAAAAATAATTTCCCGACTGAGAAATTGCACGTGAACTCAAGTCGGAAAGCTCTAATAATACAAATCCAACACATCTTTGTAGTAACGAGAGTGTCCATGTTGTATTCACATTCCGACTTAAAAGCACAACTCGGGAAATGAGAGCATCCGAGGAGCGTGTGAATGCAGTAATTACACTTGCTCTGATGGAAGCAGGTAGCCTTCCGTTAACTAAGCTAAACATGCTTAAATTAAAATGCCTAAAGCTAAACCTCCCTTGTATTCACATTTCTAAGCCTGTTGTCCAACAAAAGAGAACATTATAACCTTTTTACTCCACAACACCAGTCAAATGCTTCCTTTTGTGATCTGATGAGGCTGACACACTCTGTGTAAAGGTAGCACATCTTACAAGATCAGATATACATCTTACAAGATACTCCAGCATGGTCTTGTCAGTCATCTCTCCTTATTCTCGACCTGTGATCAGTCAAAGCTGACTCCTGCAGCTCTTGTTGGATGCAGGGTTGCCAAGTGTGTTTTTTCCACAGAATTGGGCTACTTTTAAACTGTTGCCATAGGTTGATTTTCCCAAGTGGGTTAAAGGTTTGAAATATTGCATAAATTACATTTGACTGAAATGCTCATATTGAAACATTTTGCATTCTACCTATGATAAAACTTTAATGGACTTCTACATTAACTGTTCCCTCCTGGTGGAATGACCTGCCCAGCTCAATCCAAGCAGCTGAGTCCTTAATATTTTCAAGAAACGGCTGAAAACACATCTCTTTCATCTTCATTTGACCCTCTAACTCTAGCACTCTCTATTCTAATGCTACTTCTAATTTGATCTGCTTGTTTTTTTAAATAAAAAAACTTGACCCCCTAACATTTGCACTCTCTATTCTATCTCTATTCTAATGGCCAATCAATAATTTCTTGGGGATTTTTTATTTATTTATTTTTAATAAGTATTGGTTCAGGCACCGTTTAGGCACCGGAACCATTTTAAAAGTATCGATTTGGCACCGGTATTGAAAAAAAAACAAACGATACCCAACCCTATATAAATGGAGCATAGCGTTAGTTCTGGCAGGTCACGTTAGTCAAGCTCGCATCAGCTGCCAGTCAGCTGATCCACGTCTACCTATAGGAATACGACGCCAATCATAATTCCCTTTATAAGGTCCTTTCAGTCATTATTCAGCAGCTATCGCTTTGCTCAAGAGCTCATCAGACTGCGAATTCCACCTCTATAGGAAGCGTTCAATAAGGAATTTTGCGACAAAGGTTCGTTTCCCACAGAGTATCTCACCAGATTCAAGTTCGTGAACTTGAAAGCGAACTCGCCGCATTGATTGATTGATAAGCCGATAGACTTGCAAGTGACCTGAGCGAGCACTACTTCTCACAATTGACATAGACTTTTTGCCCGCAATTCATCGCTGAAGATGTGCTAATGTGACTGCATCAACAACACTTTAACATGAGATCTGCTTTCCCCGCTGGAAGAAGCAAGATATGAAGAAGCATTAAAGCATCCACGTAACAACTGGCCATTTCACCCTTTTTTCATCTCTGAATGTCTTCACGAAGCTAAGTTTCTTATTTCATTCTCATTGCCTAATGCTATGTTGGCAAATATGCTATCGTCAAATATTGCTCATTGTTTAAGGCTAGTTGTTCAGTAACATGTTTGCTAGGCATGCTGT